CTTAAACCAATAAATCATTGATCCTCACTCTCCTTCCTCCCCAATTTTTAATCTTGTTAACCACTTCCAAATCCCAAATTTGAATCCATATTAGATTAATCACAGAAAAAAGAAAGAAAGAAAAAAAAGCTACTATCATTGCTTTTATAGCAATAAGACAAATATATCTCTGCACTTATAATATTTACAATATGAGAACAGAAATGGGAGAGCAGAACCAATTAAAAAAGCTTAACCATCTATTAAACAACAAAGCTCCCATTGAATTCAAAATGATGGATTTGCTAGACCCGCTACCATTTTCCTGTTCTTTTCTCCTGTTTGTCTGCCCCCAATCTCTCAGCACTGCCTAAATGGTTTTAGGGTTTGTTTGGTTCACAAAAAAAAGAGAAAAAAAAAGAGAAGACTTCATTTTGAAAAATATTTTCCATGAAAAATATTCTTTTTCAAAAATTATTTTTTGTTGTTTGGAACAGTTTAGACAATTTTTTCAAGAAAATATTTTCTGTTGTTTGGTAAGGAAAAATCTTCAAAATCTCTCCAACATTACTTTATACAATTTAATCTTTGAAATTTATAAAATTAACTCAAAATAATAACATTTAAAAAATTCAAACTATTAAAACTTCAGAATATTCAAAGATAAGATATTAAGATTCATCAGAATAAATAAATAAATTTTTATTAAACATTACCAATTTACTACAAATCTATCACATGGACCATTTCAAACAAAAAAACTTAGGACTTGTGTGAAACTCTTATAAAGTGTGAGGACTTCATTAATGATTTAAATCCACGTTGCATCGTCTTCTTCAAAATAGCAAATCGGAGGTCATCACCTTTGAATTGCAGTCGTGATTGAAGACTTTGCAGCGTTATTGGGTTGGGCAAATTCTTCAAAATCTGTTAAACCCAAATAGAAATCAAATGGCTTTGATGATGCTTGAGATTAAATTCAAGAGTTGGGATCAAAAGAACAGAGAATTTCTTGAATTTTTTGGGATTTTGAAACTATGTAATCTTGTAGAGAAATTTAATATCATCGAAGACAACACCTTTCTTCCTCTCACTTTCCATTCTCATAATTTTCTTGACAACCAAATAGATTAAGTAAAGAAAATCAACTCAAATTTGAAAGGGAGCCAGAAAATATACGAAGAAGAAACAGTTGGAGGTTATGTGTGTGAGACAAACCTTCTTTCCCATCTCCTTTTTCTCCCAAATGAACCTCATTTACATCATCCATAAACAGATCAACAAAAGAGAAAGTAAGGTAAAATAAAAATAAAAATAAAACAAAAAAAGGAAACTCCTCACTGGAAATTGGACGAACGAAAGCCCAAGAACTTGCATCCAACACTGGCAGGTTAAGCTCTTTGTCCCTTGGTTGGATCTCTAACCCAGATATAAATACGTTCCTCTTCCTTTCCCAAAATCGTACTCAGATCTAGCTCCCTCCATCGCCACAGTTAGCATAAATGACAATCATAAATTAGATCAACATAACAGGATTGAAGAATGGATGAAGAATAAAATTGACTTTAGTAAACAAAGACGCAAACAGAACTCGAATCAACCATAGAAAGAAAACAAACAGAGGGAAACTTTGAACTCATAACATCAGGAATTCTTATTTCCAAGAAAACTTATTAGCATGAATCAGCCATCAACACCACCAAAATCAAATAAATAGACCATAGAATCATCATATTCAAGCAGTGAACCCACTATGACATGACGGAATCGATAAAGCATTTCAACATATAAATCATAAAACAGGGGAATGGAAAATGATGAACAGAACAACAGAACCCAAATGTATCAAGCTAACTTACCTGTCAGAACCAACAGCAAACTCTCCCCCACACACTGCCACTGCAAGCCCTTGACGATTGACCGGCCCTCAAATCCAGGTTGTCTTGTCAAATTGAAAATCATGTTTTACATATCAAGATAACACTTTTTAGCAAAAACTCCACCAAGCTCATCCAGATTCTAACTCAAAACTCGAAAATAGAAAAGCAGAAACTAATCCCATAAAAAGGTTATGAATGTTTCATTTCAAAGCTAAATAAATACAAACAAAACAGTAGAAAATAAAAAAATAAAACCCAGATGAGATCATGAAAAAATGATACTGAAATTGAAAAAAAAAAAAAAAAGAACACAAATCCTCACACGCAAATGGAATTCATCAAAAAAGAAAGTTAAAGAAAAGCAATCAACTTTAAATGAAAAAGAATATAATCTTTACCCCATGAAGTGAAATTGGAAATGGCTCTAGGAAATGACAAATTGAGGGAATGCCCATGAACTGAAGGAGGCTTAACCATGAATTCTCCTCATCTATTGATCTACTCTAAGGGAATGCTAAGATCATAACTAAACTGACCATCTCACTTTTGTAAATTACGTTGGCAGGCACAGCAAAGGTCAATGATAATTTCGATCAAGATATCCATAGAAGAATACATTTCAAGCTTGATGAGCTGAGTTGAATGTTTGTTTGGCAACATGGATTCTAAAATTACGCAAACATGAATTTAATTATGTCACACTTTATTGAAGAATGAAGTTTTACAATAGAAATTGAATCCTCCAATTATGAATAAAATTCACCCAAAAAATTTTCACCTAAAATGAACGTCAATTTCTAAAAGAAGCAAATTCAGGCGAAAAATCTCACAAACAAAGCATGCCCACATTACCATATTAAAATCAGAATCACTGAGTTACCAATGCTTACAACTTATACAGAAAAAAAGGCTTCAGGCCTGATCAAGGAGTGCTTGAAATTGGTGTCTTCTTTGAAGAAGTTGCCTTTTCCAGCAAGAATGGATCCGAAGAAAAGAATCCTTTATATATAAAGTAATGGTTTTCAATCCTATTACCAAAAAAAAAAAAAAATGATTTTCAATCCTTGCAAGTACCTGAATAAGCAAAATGAAGAAACACATTACATTCTCCAGATCAGTTGCTCTTCACATTTTTATCTAAAAATGAAAACTATGCCTCTTCTTCAGTTTCATTTAAATTTAAACTTTAAAAATTGTACTATTATTATAAGAAATACTATTGATGTAGTAATATAAATAAATCATATAATTCAAGAAAGAAGAGTACAAAAAAGAAATTCAAAATAAAATTTATCACTCACATAAAAAAGAATTGCAGTTTGTATCCAACTAAAGAGAATGATCCTCGCCATCCCCATTTATGTTCCTATGAATAACCATGCCTAGATTCGATTAATTTTTAAGAGGATCTATAAAAGTTGATTGTCAGAACAATTCCTTTCTACTTTTTTTTTTTATCAAAAAAAGAATGAATAAATCATTAATCAATATAAAAATGAAAAGATATTTAAAAGATTGTAAATATTGCAATCATTTAACAGAGGGAAGTTAAATACCTTAGAAAAAGTCTAAATCATCCAACAGGAAAACTATCCTCCTCAGAACTTGTAAATAAAGCCTCCACGACCTACAATATCAACATAACACAACCAATATAAATCTATGAAACTAATTTTGTAAAAAATAACATGAGTAGGAAAGTCTAGAAGCCAAATATCAAAAAGCTGAAACTGTGCACCTTTTGTAATTTTCATATGTACCCTCCGACTCAGAAGAGGGAATTCACCCAAGCCTGAATATGGATGTTATTTTATGTTGTGTCAGGCATTTGTTGATAGTGGTGCGCAGTCAACCATAATATCAAAAAGCTGTGCTGAGCGATCTGGGTATGTGTTCATTTTATATTTTTTGTCCTGCTGATTGTATGCATATCTAAAAGAGTATCCATTTGTAGTACAAGTCAATTTAACACAATTGAATTTTTATTTTAGTATTCTTATTCTTGTAGTCTGGGAAGGGTTGAGGTTGTTTGTATTAGCTTCACTGTTTGGTTTCTTCGGAAGGAACAGTGCTGTTCATGGATGCCCTTTTCAGTTATTATTCTTGTAAGGAGTGATGTCAATATTATAGCTTATAATCCTCAGAAGAGTCAAAATTGGGAGGCCAATTTTTAAATTTGTTTCTATTCATCCATTGTCAATCCAGATTGCTGAGGCTTCTAGATGAACGTTACAAGGGTATTGTTCATGGAGTTGGCCAATCAGAGATACTGCATAGGATACATGTTGCTCCAATTAAGGTAGAGTGCATTCTAACTTCAAATCATTCTCACTTAATCCAAATGTTGATTTACCTTACAATTTTAGCAAATTCTATCCATAACTGACTTGGACAAATCTGCAGTGTATTATTGATTTGAAGGTGAACGTCCTGAGAGTTGGGGGAGGAGAAGTTTCAGTCCCATTTTTGCAAGGTTTATGTTTGAATCTGTGCATCCGTCTTTCTGTGACTTGGGTGAAAAGTGGAATTAACTGGATCATGTGTTGTTTACAGTAAAAGACATCCTATCCCGTTTTTGTTTTTACTCTAGTTATATATGGAACTTTTTGGAAAAATACTCTCATCAATTATTAAACGTAATTTTTTATCCAATTTTGATCATTTAATTAAAATGTTTTAAGTAAAAAAAGTTATTATAAAATACAAGAATTACATACAAGGGAAAAATTAAAATTGTTGTTTACATAAAATGTTAAATTTTTATTTAAAATTTATATTTAAAAAGTTAAAAAATTAGACTATAATTACTAAATTTAAATAGAGGTAGTAAAGAATCTAATTGTAATATAAAAAATTGAAGACTAACTTGTGAAAAAGAAAGGTTCTTTAAAAAAACCATTGCAAATATATAAATTCATTATTCCTTTTAACTTGTTTGCAATCAAGCTTCAAGAATTGTCATTACACCATACATTTTTCCCCTCCCTTTTCTTCTTCTTCTTCTTGTTTTTTAATTTATCTTTAACCTAAAGAACTTGCATAAAAACCCACTTTACACCAAATCTACTTGTGGTTTATTACTATAGGACTCCTAACATTATGCTTCCCATCAGACCAGACCAACTGCCCAAATAAAAAATCTCCAGACCCTACTTTACTCGTAGAGTTGAATGTAACTGCGAATTCCTTCTCTTCACCCATCTTCTTGAATGTCAGTGTCTTAGGTCTAACTGATACTGAGACTCCAACTGGTGACTTGATGCGGGCGGAGTATGTACCTGGATGGCCAACATTCTTTACTCGTCTAGTGACAGTCACCTGCCCACTCAATTCAGGAAGTGAAATTGAAGGGTAGTTGAAGTTTGTTACGCTGTATGACTTGGGACATGCATATGGCTTGGTTGTGAAACTTTTTAGCAAGCTTGTGTTGTATCCCCGGCCACAGAGGTAGTTCAAGTAATCATCAACTGTTAAGTCATAAACGAGGCCAGGATCCATTGCTCGGTTTGGTCTCACATCTCCTACCCCATACGCAAATGGAGTTGCCATATCATTGGTTGAAGAATCTTTCATTGCCTGTTCTTCATTATCACGTATTCTTGCTGAAAAAAAAAAAATGAAAAACATTTTCAGAAAACTTAGCAAAGGTTTTGATAGGTAAGTTACGTTATATAAGAGTGAAGAGAAAGGAAAGTTTGTTACCGGTAGTCATTATTGCAGACTTAATAGCTGCAGGACTCCAAAGAGGGTAGAGTGTCTTGAGAAGTCCAACAACACCGGAAACATGAGGGCAAGACATAGAAGTACCGGATAGCGTGTTGAATGGAATTCGGCGTTTATCAAACTCAGAATCAGTTGGTGAAGTTGCTAGACTATAACCAGCAATGATCGCCACCCCAGGTGCTGTTATATCAGGCTGAAACAACAGCGAAGAAAAAAAAGAAAGAAATTTCATGTTTCTAGTTCAAACACTAGTAGATACAAAGAAATACCTAGGGTTTATTGACTGAATTATATAACGCTCAGTTCCTAACCTTGAGAATTTCTGGATCTATGAAATTAGGTCCCCTAGATGAGAACGCAGCCATTTTTGGAGCCGGTTTTGTACCCAATACAGTCTTTACATGTTTGATTTTTGCTATAGGTTTCCTGAGAATGTTCGTAAATAAAATGAAGAATACGTAATGAATCGCTGGAAAATGCGAATAATGAGGACAAAAGATTGTTACCCATTAGAGTTGATGTAGGCATAGATAGTTTGACCATCAGCAAAATTGACGTGAGCAGCTGGGAGCATGTGAGCGTCTGCTAAAACTTCATTTCCACTTTGCTCATCATTCGCTAGAATCATGCCAACAGCTCCGGCTCGAAGGGCTGCTACCCCTTTCTCTGTTCTTCCATAATCCCCTCGAAGACACACCACAATCTTTCCCTTAGCCTTTCTAGGGTCAAGCGAATCTGGTGCACACAGGTTGCTGCACATTTGTTCAAAATAAATTGTTAAACAAAGTGACTATATGCTGTGAAATACCAAAAAATGGACGGTGGAGGGATGACATACGCATCTACTTCTGGGACATTATCTAACTTAGCGCTTGCACCAGTAATCAGTGGATAGTATTTCCCATGAGGCAGAATTGTTGCAGAAAGACTCATTCCCTATAAACGGAAATTTTAGCTTCACAAATAAAGAAGATGGTGTAGTGATGAATATTCGATGGATACTAGAGTATATGTACCTTAATCTGCTTCTTGTTCCCAAGCTTGATATAACTTGTGAACTCCCTGTCAATTGTGCTAGCCCCAATTGTAAATATCCAAGGTGCCACATTGGATACGCTCCCTGGTGTTGGCCCAGAATTACCAGCAGAAGCAACCACAGTAATGCCATTCTTGACAGCATGGAAGGACCCAATTGCAATTCCATCCTCAGAAAATTCCTGTGCATCACTACCGAGTGACAGTGAGAGCACATCAACACCATCACTAATTGCAGCATCAAAGGCAGCAAGGATGTCTGCATCCATGCATGCAGTGCCTCCAGTTTGGGGCCAGCATACTTTATAAGCTGCTACACGAGCTGCAGGTGATCCCCCACTTGCTGTCCCATTACCATGGCGAAAAACATTAGCTCCTTGAACAAAATTGCCACCAGCAGTTGATAGGGTGTGTGATCCATGGCCATCAAGGTCCCTCGCAGTTGATAACGAGGAATTTAGTTGGTCACCAACAGCTTCAGCTAAACCTTTGTTAAAGTACCTTAATCCTATCAACTTCCTGCATGTAACATAACAACTCAACAACTCAAAATGTACAGGGTGCCAAAAAAGAAACTCTATTCACTTTCTCATTATGATAACTTTTTAATAGCCTTGCCCTTTTAGTTTAAGAATGTTGATACTTTTTTATTGTAAGTTTATAATTGAAAAATGGAAATCTACGCATTCACTTTGTCCTCACCAAAAACACATAACTAAAGCACTCTATCTATTTGTTTGCAAATTGAATGAACATTCAACATTGCTCTAGCTCAGCGTCTAGTCTAGATACAAAGAGGGATGCAAAATATTTAACTTGTAAAGCATGTTCAAGCAATGGTTTTCTCAACAAGCAATCAAGTCATGTGCTTTAGTAGGGAACATGTATACTATTATAAGAAAACATTTTGTTTTTTACTATTTTCATAGTCACGAGGTAGAAATGAGATTTATCTAGGGAATCTTAGTTTTAAAAGCTAAAAATTTTAGCTAGTATAATCAATATAAAGATGGCAGAAACTAAAGAAAAGAATGACCTATTGCAAAGTAATTTATCTCCATTTCCACTTTGACAGGTTCCACGCCACCTTGATGGAATGGGACCATACCCTTCACCTGAAAAGCTCTTTAATTCCGGCCAAACACCTGAATCAAAGTTGTAAGATTATAGAGAAATTCATAGACAACATTGAAAGGAAATTGAAACTAGCATTGGATAGTCAAAAGCAATTTGCCACTAATCCTACCATTGTTAGATTCATACATGCATATTGTTGATACTAGGGATGGCATTTTGCTTTGAAACTCATGGAGTTTTTTGGAGATTCTTATTGTAAGATGGAGATAAGGAGAATATGTTACCTCATGGGACGAGGATGGAGGCAATTTTTTTACCTAATTCAACCTAAATTTATATTTTATAAATTATAATATATTTATAAAAAAAAATAAAACCCAAGTAATTTAAAATTTCTTTTCTTTTTATACTTTTTTTATGAATTTGTTAGACTGTATACATTTGTTTGTTTCAAATTTCTACTATCTATTTATTTTTTTATGTTATGCTTTTTTATGTTGTTTATAAAACTTTTTGCATGCTTTTCATTTTTGTAGATTTTTATTTTTATATCTCATAAATGATTCTTTATATAATATTATAAAATTTATTTATTAAAAATTTGATATTAAATTCTATAATTTTAATATTTGAGAGGACATCTCAACCCTTCTTCCAGGTACCCGTAGACATCCCTAGTTGAAACCATGATATGATATGTTATGATGGCATATCAAAAAAATCAAGCAATGAATTAACCACAACCAGTTTGTTTTCAATAGAATCAACATGAATAATCAAGAATCATAATGCGGTAATATAATCCAAAATTCTTAATTGAGGTGAAATCCAATGGATAAAGATTGTGGAATTTACCGGTGTCTAGGTTTCCAATGATGGTGTCTTTCCCAAACCTTGCCTTTTTCCAAATCCCTTGGGAAGGAATAATCCCATCTCTTGTCAATCTCAAAAATTCCCATGAATGAGTTGTGTGCAGTTTCTTTGGCTTGTTTGGAAAAACAGAAATCACATCCGAACGTTCTATATTGAATCAAAACAACAAGAATCAATCCATTAAAAAAAAAAAAAAGAATCAAAATCTATAAAAACAGAGTATGGCATGCAAGAATTAAATTGCATTGTGCACACTTGCTAACTGCGCAGCTTCTTCCTCCTCCAGGACCGCGGCAAAACCATTGATGGAATGAGAATATGAGTAAAAAATCTTGTCCCTTGCAATCTCAGCACTGCAACAGAAAATAGAAACGAATGCATCAATTTGTAAAATCATAGGAATTGAATATCTCTACCCCTACGAAAAGAAACAGAGAATTCAATACCTTCTAACAACAGAACTCAGAACCTTGTAATGGGAATTGGTCACTCGATTGAGTTCAACCGAAGTTGGCTCAAGCCCATGTTTGTGTTCTCCCAAGTACACTACATAAGACTGAAAATTTGAAAAACAAAGATTGAGCTCTGAACATAAAAACGAGATTTAACACGTTTCTATAGCATAAAAAAAAAAGGGGAAATTCAGAGGAGTGTAAAAATTTCATGTGCTTGCCTTTTGGACGGCAAAAGTGGGTTTGAGAAACAGAGAGAATAGAACGAGAGGGAAAAGAAATGAAATCGTCATTGTTTTTTTTATTTTATTTTATTTTATTTCAGATTCGTGAAGAAAAGGATGAAATAAATAGTGGAGTTGACTCTGCTTTCCCTGTTTCTAGAACTCTGCTTTTGGAAAATGGATAGCCAAGGAATCTTTCCATTTAAAAACAGATTTGAGATGCACAAATTTTTCAAAAAGAAAAATAATTTATCGATAATTTTTTTAAAATTTAGTAT